TAATATACCTTCATCCTAATTCTTCGGATAATATTTTGGTTTCATTATACTCGTCTATAAGCATTCATCTTGCAGCAACAGAGTTGCTGGAACCCTTCAAGATTTATTAAATCAACCTTAAATATTTTTCGGATTTTACATTTTTTTCCCCTTTTTAATGATTTTCCAGCAATTTAAAATTGACCTATGCATTGAAGTGCTATTAAATTGTAAATTTGTAACTCTGAACTTTAAGACCCCTTGAATAAACACTAAATAATTTTATTGAACTCTATGTTCCACATTTTTTATTTTTTATGTATAATTTAGGACGCCTCACATTTTCTGATATCTACATTTATTTAGTTTTAAAAAACTACAATTGTTCGAAAAAAGCGCACATTAACAGCATGTTTTACTAAAAGATTGCTTTTAGTTCTTGGTAAGGTAGGAGCTAATTAGTAACTTGTTCGTTATAAGTAAACCGATTATGAGTAAAAAATTTAAGCATTGCCAAACCTGCACTGAACAGTAAAGAAAATAAATATTTTATGGAGTTAAAATCTTACCATGAAAGCAGTGGCCAATCACTCCCACCACCATCGCCACCTCTTCCACCCGAATTTCCACCACCGGGACCTCCAAAACTACCTGCTCCACCACCGGCACCACCGCCACTGGAAACCCGAAAAGACCGATGACCCAAAAATCTAAACCCCGATTCAGAACCGCCCGAGACCTTAAAACCCTGTGTAGAAGGCAGATTAAAACTGCGGTGACAGCTTGTAAATCTCCTGGTTATGTGAATTGGGTTAATCCTGCTCTGGCAATTGAAGTGGCAACCGGGCGTGCGAGAGAGAGCTGAGAAACGAAACAAAAGACTACGCAGCAAACAAGTGGATTTTTGGGTCATTACAAAATTCGAAACCACCATTGTTGTTGAATCTATAGATAGTGCTTAATTTTACTGCTCAGAATCCTCAGATTACCGTCCGCAGAGTCCACAAAGGTACGGGGGTTTTTGAGGTTTTAATCCAAAGAATAATGCTTCACTTACAGTTTCCTTCACGTTAACTTTTACAGTTTTTTGTCATTTTAGGAGTTAATTATCTATTTTACCCTATCTCTATATTTTAATTATTTTTCACTTTTTACACATTTTTCACCTTTAATTGGTATCAGAGCCTAGGTAACGAGACTAAATAAAATTTTTAAAATGAATAGAAAAGATAAAATGATTCTAAAAGAATTACAAAATATTAATATTTTAACTAATACTAATCGAATTAAATTACAAGAATTAGCAACAAATTTAAGTATTAAATATAAATCTCTAAGAGA